CAGATCTTTAACGCTTCACTAGCAACAGGACACTTCCCCAAGATTTTCAAAACAGCCAAAATCAGACTCATACCCAAACCCGGGAAAAACCCAACAAAACCGGAAAATTACAGACCTATATCCTTATTAGAAACACCAGGGAAAATACGAGAAAAAATAGTCAACAGCAGACTCAGAACCTTTTTAGAACAGGAAAACAAATATAACCCCAGACAACATGGATTCCGAAAGAACCGAGGCACAAACATGGCTATTGCATTAATTTATGAATCAATAGCTAACGCCGCCAGCAATAAAAACCAATGCAATATTGTTCTTAGAGACGTATCAAAAGCTTTTGATAAAGTGTGGCACGAAGGCCTCAAATATAAAACAATTCAGCTTGACATGCCAAAAAACATGACAACCCTTCTATGCAACTTCTTAGACAACAGACAAGCCAAACTCATTATCGACAACTACACCGGATAAACCTTCAACATACACAGTGGAGTCCCACAGGGCAGCAACATTTCACCCACACTGTACACAATATATGCAGCAGACATACCAGACCCAAGACAGTCGGACAGCATAGCATAAGCAGACGATATCACACAAATAATACAATATCCAGGGAAATCTAAGCAAATGATGGCTATAAGAACAGGAAGAGAAATTGAAGCAATTAGCAACTATGAGAGAAAATGGAAACTCCAAACCAACATCCCAAAACTAAAGATCATATACATTGCTAAAATAAACCCATACCCAATCACAGTCAACAATCAACAGCTACCATATGGAGAAAGAGGAAAACACTGGGACTCAAACTCACCAGAACCGGTATACACCAACACATTACACTAAGATTGACCAAAGACAAATAACCAAACTCCGTCGCTTTAGAAAACTAAACACCAGAACACAGCAACACCTATACAAATCACTCGTCAGACCACACCTTGAATACCCACCAATTCCACTTAACACAATTACTAAAACAAACAAACTCAAGCTGCAAGCAGTCCAAAATACAGCACTAAGAAGAGCAGCAAAACAAAGGCCGCCATACAGTCAAAAAATACGAGACATACACACCGAACATAATATAGACACAATTAACATAAGAACACACAAACAAGCAAAAGCGGTATGGGACACACTACACCGAACACAAGACCCTATTTTACAGGAACTAGTAAAGACAAACAACAATATATCACACAGCTGGTGGCCAAGAAGCATCAACATTAACACAATCAGCCCGGAACCATTATATGCACGAAAGTAACACCACTTAAATAACCGAAAAGATGGGGAATATCCTGCCAGTTACACAAGGACCTGGCGGGACCCCCCAGCAAAATCACAAAAGATGAGGAACATCCCTTCAGCAACACAAGGACCTTAAGGGACCCGCCAACAAACCCAAAAACATCACCTATCTTAGGATGGCATTTTGAACTAGCTTAGCTTAGCTTATCTAAACTCCCTTGCCCCTGGAGGACTGAGGGGCGTCTATCACTAGTTTAACCACAGCCTCCGCAAAGTCGAAAGCCCACCTGCTTTCATTCTCCTTCTGTACTTCCCACTTCTTAACTATACCTTGCCCTAAATATCCTTGATAACCTCAGAGCCACGGCTCTCTTATCTCAGTGTCCTGACTGACTGACTGGGAGACGAATCTACTCTGACCTACTGGACCAGCAAGATCCCTCTCCGGCGCCTCACCACCCAGCTCCCTCAGAAAGCTCCTCGCCCTACAGGACCTCTGAGCAAGCTACTCCTCACCTAGTCACTCCTAAGCACTGCGCTGTACAACAATATATATACAGAAAGCTCATTGTGAGTTTCTATCCTACCTCATTCCTGAGTGTGAGATATCTATATGTACGTACGTTTGTGTGCCCATACAAAGAGACAATAGACAACTGAAGAGAATTGACAACTGGCCACAAACTGTACACTACAAATCATGTCCTGTTGGCATGAGACACACCTGAGAAGGGTGTTTGAGTACCTCTCACTATCATGTCCTGTTGTACACATGTTCTACAATATTGGGGTTGTAATAAAATATTCAGCAATAGTTTAAATACTTATATCTCATTCTGTAAGATATTTATGTTTGGGGCACATCATGGCCAAGTGTATACAGTTATACTGCCCTTTAATTGGTCACTTAATACTAGGGTTTACTTCTTAACTTAGGGTCGCTGCCACCAGACGGCAGGACAGTATGTGTAGTTGTTCTTTGGGGAGCTGGCAAAGAAGTCTAGCAGTGTGAGTTAGTCTAGCAGTGTGAGTTTAGTCTAGTAGTGTGAGTTTGTGTTTTTCATTAATCAAAGTTGAGGGTGGAAGGAAGGGTGAAACACCAACCAGTAGTTTTAACTAATTATTTTAGACATAATAAAAATACTGCACTCTGTGACAATACAAAAATAGTTGACCTTCCCCAAACAATTAAGGTCACAGCACCACACAAACATAACTGACCTTCTCCCATAAATGAAGGTCTCTTCTTCTCCATACAAAATAACTGACCTTAATACTATCAGTACACACACTTAACATTATATACACAGACACTGGTATAATACAACATACAACAGTACCTTGAGTTCTCCCTTAATACTATCAGTACACACACTTAACATTATATACACAGACACTGGTATAATACAACATACAAATTACCCCTTCAGAGTCTTTACTGTGACACTACCCAACAGAAAACTTAGATACTCCCTTAGTGCGGTGAGTGTGAACGTTATGCAGCTGTAATAAGAGTCACAAGAGATTATAGGGACCTGTACTAATGTATGCAGTACACAGTATTTACATAAAACTCTATATTCATGTTCACAAAATAAATGCCATTCTTGTAGCAATCATTTTTTAAAATATCATTGTTAGATAAACACATGCCAGTACTATTAGGAAAAGTTGTATATAAGAACAGCAAATATCTAAATACTGTATGTTAATTTAACCAAGTTTTCTGCTTAACATGATAAAAAAAAAAATTAACCCACAGTTTGGCATTTCAGCATTGGCTACTTTAAGAAAATGACTGCCCAAGCATGAATTGATATATAACCAAGAAGAGTTACCTAACTAAGGCACAAAATGCTAACTGAACAATATATTAAACATTATATTATATACAGTTAATAGGTGTTAAAGTTCATCTGCCCCATAACACCAGCTACTATATATAAACCCTAACCATTATTTACCAGACAATGGTACCATATATCTGTAAGCGATGAAAGAATATATTTAAAACATAAATCAAAACTACCAACCATTTTAGTCAAGATAAAATATCAAAATATCTCGTCAGAGTTGAGCAAAACTTATCAAATATTTACGTACAATTTCAACAGAGATTGAAGAGTTTCCGTGAGATAATGACAACACCTTGACTATAACAAATGGTTTACCACCACTGTACTACTTTACCAAGATGATTTACTACCTGCGTTAATGTACGTACTTGTGATAAAACTTACGTCGAGTGTAAATAAAGACAGACGTACACACTACTACACAGTTGACACAACTACTGATGCACAAATTATAGTAAATGAGAGTTCATCTCTGTTCAACACAACTTATCCAGTAAAGGTGAAATTTTAATCCCATAGACGATAAGTTTAACCTTTGTTCACTACTGTACTACTGTAAATAACATTATTAAAAAGGCTGATGAAACAAAATGGAGTATTATTATGAGTGATATTTAACCAACACCAAATGTCTACACTAAGGCCATGGTAGAAGTAATTTACATCTTAAGAGCAGATAACTTGTGTTTAATATCTATAAAAGTGGCATTTGTCACTTGTCTTTATTTCTGCTACATTCATAGAGTTTGTTCAAGTGGTTTTATATTGATGTATATCACCGTATTCAAGTTGTGTGTCACATTTACCTTCTGTTAAAGTCATTCAAACATTTATTGAATTCTGTTTTTTTCATGGACAGGTTTATGACGTTTGAGATAACCGCTGTGGGAGAAACATTTCCCACATTCCTCACATTCAAACTCCTTTATACCATTGTGTACAAGAATGTGTGTCTTGAGATTACCCTTCAGGGAGAAACATTTCCCACATTCCTCACATATAAACTTCTTTATACCATTGTGTCCAAGAATGTGTGTCTCGAGAGTACTCTTCCGGGTGAAACTTTTCCCACATTCCTCACATTCAAACTCCTTCACACCATTGTGTTCAAGAAGGTGTGTCTTGAGATTACTCTTCCTGGAGAAACATTTCCCACATTCCGCACATTCAAACTCCTTCACACCATTGTGTCCAAGAATATGTGCCTTGAGATGACTCTTCTGGGAGAAACATTTCCCACATTCCTCACATTCAAACTCCTTCACACCATTGTGTCTAAGAATGTGTGTTTTTAGAGTACTCTTCTGGGAGAAACATTTCCCACATTCCTCACATTCAAACTCCTTCACACCATTGTGTCCAAGAATGTGTCCCTTGAGAGTACTCTTCTGGGAGAAACATTTCCCACATTCCTCACATTCAAACTCCTTCACACCATTGTGTCCAAGAATGTGTCTCTTTAGAGTACTCGTCCGGGAGAAACATTTCCCACATTCCTCACATTCAAACTCCTTCACACTATTGTGTACAAGAATGTGTGCATTGAGATGACCCTTCCGGGAGAAACATTTCCCACATTCCTCACATTCAAACTCCTTCACACCATTGTGTACAAGAATGTGTGCATTGAGATGACCCTTCCGGGAGAAACATTTCCCACATTCCTCACATTCAAACTCCTTCACACCATTGTGTCCAAGAATGTGTGTCTTCAGATTACTCTTCTGGGAGAAACATTTCCCACATTCCTCACATTCAAACTCCTTCACACCATTGTGTACAAGTAAATGTTTCTGAAGAGTAGACTTGAAGCCAAACTGTTTGCCACATTCCTGACAGGAGAACTTTTTATCACTGCTTGACATTGTGAACTTCTACTTAGTTACACTTGGTCTTGAGATGTGACATCACAGTATCTGAAATAAAATATTTTGCCTTAGATAATATTCTTATAAAAGTACAATTTATAAATGAAAACTACAAGTGACTAAAAAAATTTGTGTAAAATAAGAGTAAAAATAAAATAAAAATATAAAATAAAAAGGTTATATTAATCTACACTACGAAGATGCCGGAAAACCAGCTTTTTGAAGTGAGACAGATTGTATGAGTATGGAAACACAGAAGAAGGCAGAGCATTCAACAGTGTGAGGAAAGAAGGATGTACTATAATGTGCTTTATTATAGTGTGACATCCACACAGACACAGTTTGGCTGTGTGAGTAAAGAAGGATGTACTATAATGGGTTATTATAGTGTGACCCACATCCACACAGACACAGTTTGGCTGTGTGAGTAAAGAAGCATGTACTATAACGGGTTATTATAGTGTGACCCACATCCACACAGACACAGTTTAGCTGTGTGAGTAAAGAAGGATGTACTATAACGGGTTATTATAGTGTGACCCACATCCACACAGACACAGTTTGGCTGTGTGAGTAAAGAAGGATGTACTATAACGGGTTATTATAGTGTGACCCACATCCACACAGACACAGTTTGGCTGTGTGAGTAAAGAAGGATGTACTATAACGGGTTATTATAGTGTGACCGCTGTGCCTCCAACTCGGCCCATCAAATACCAACACGGACCATCTCGGAAAACAAACCTTTAACTCAAACATTCTAATGTATGTTTATATCAACGACACAACACAAAACATTTATTACCTTTACCACGAGCGAGGGAGGAAGGTCCACAAATTAACATTTACTAACAAAATGAACAAAAATAAACAAGACAGCCACGTTGGCTGATGTTGACCTGCTACACCTTGTCCGATTCTCTCTCTTATCTTTCAGTTACTACAAGTTTTCATTATTAAACTATAATAAAAGTATTGTATTAATAAATATTACATAATATAAATAAATTATACTTTAATTATAATGTTTTATTATTGATTAAATTCCCGCTAATAGATATACGGTATATTAAACTAAACTTAAGTCAGTGGCTGGAGAACCGAATAGCTTGACAGCATTTACAATTTTACTAAAATAAATTTAAACAATAACATTTTGTGTTTAACTATTCTAAGTTTATTTATTAATATTTTATTAATATATAACACTACAGTATATAGATTCAGTTAACAAACGACTCCGTGGAACCAATTGTGTTGGTTAATGGAGGGACCACTGAAGATATTTTAGCGACCCTCCCTGGTGACAACCTTAACCTAACGTGGGTCAACACTCCACTATCCACCTATATGAACCTTTATTAATGTGGAACAAGTCCTTTATAAGAACAATTCACTGGACAATACTCACGGCAGTAGGTATAACCTGTAATATTTGATCACTGACTTGAACTATCATCATTATTGTTGTGGAATGTTCCTAAAAGTACAATAATTATTTACCTATTATACAGTACAGCATTAATTTATGGCAAGATTGATGCCAAAAAACTATATTTAAATATAACTTAACCCAAATAAAATACCCCATTTGTTTGTAAAGTTTCCTGGCTTTTCCATGCAGTCGACACCCCAATAGTCTATATTTTTAAAATGTATATGAAGGCCTTTTAAAAAATACGGGCAAAGCCTAAGTAATCTACTTTAAATATCTAATTGTTTAAAAAAGTCATTAACACAATAACTAATTTGTGAACCCAGATTTAGAATCAGGTAAAGTAGTACCCTGTACCTTTGTAGGATATTTAAACTATTTTTTTACCCCAAGTGCAGAAGACAAAGGTATTAGGTCAGGCATATTTGACAAATATTTTGACAAAGTGAAACTAACTTCATACGGTAAAAATGGTCAACATATTTAAGACCATCCATACAGGCTTTTGAAACTTACGGGCACAGCGTAATCTACTTAAAATATCTAATTATTTCAAAGGTCATTAACACAATTACTTGAATTTTTAAACGGTGATCCCAGATCCTTATTAAAAACTAAAACCACAAAGATATACACTGTACTGTACCTTATGTTATAGCAGAAAGTTTCCAATGTGGTGCAGCAAGAGACCCGTGAACCAAAACAAACCTTCGTCTTGTTGCCCACATCTTACATCTTAACGTCACTGTCCTGGAATGAATAACATTTTAACAACTCATAAATTAAATAATCTGGGCAGTAATATTATATTATATGTATACAGTACTGTACAGTATTATATTATACATAAAACTTATTAAAGAAAATAAAGACACACTTTCGAAAATCTTACCTCGATAAATGACACAAGGATCTTCATTAACCATGATCAGCGAGGCAGCAATATGGTAGTTGTTTTAACACTACAATAACAACCAATTGGAACTGTAAAATGTAAACAAAATAACCCTGTTACTCTTTTTGTAGAAACTCAGATAATTTTTTGTTCCAACATATTGGAGACGAAACAACATGATTTTATGCCGGGGCGCTCCTGCTTAACACAATTGCTCAAAGTGTTGGATATTTGGACCCATATTCTGGAACAGGTGGTAATATAGACAATATTTACCTAGATTTTGCCAAGGCTTTCGACAGTGTACCCCAAGAAAGGCTGAAAATCAAACTGGAAGAGTGCAGAATTCGGGGAAATGTCCTAGCATGGATAGAAGACTTTCTCCATGACCGCAAGCAGTGTGTGGTGAGTAATGGCACGAAATCATCATCTGTACCTGTCACAAGCGGGGTACCACAGGGCAGTGTATTGGGTCCGCTGTTGTTTGTTTGTTTCATAATGATATGCCTGACGTTGTACACTGCTACATACAAATGTTTGCCGATGACGCCAAGTTATTTTGGGAAATCAAGAAAAAAGCAGACTGTGAAGAGCTGCAGAAGGACCACAAGTTAACTCTGGTCAACAACTTTCTTAATACCACTTACTAGTCACTAATGGATAACACCTGGTAAATTCACAAGTTATATCCCACTGCCATAAGGGTTTAATTATCTATAAACGCCGATATTGTGAAGCGTCTAGTGATTTTTCCTTTCCCAGAGAATTAAAATACCATCGAAGACATGATTTGGTTAGGTTAGGATCCCACCAAATAGTGACAAAAATAATAACCTGAAATTTTACAGTAAAATTCCCAAAATGTCTCAAAAGCTAATTTTTGACTACAAACTGTAATTTAACCATAAATAAAAAGTACCACATTCTTATAACCAATTTCTTTTACTTCAATTAAATAAAAAAAGAACCAAATACTTCCTCAAACAAATTTTTACTTCAATTAAATAAAAGAATCTTTCCCAAAATAAAAATGACCCAAAATCCCACCTTGGTTAATATATAGGACTAACCCACCATAGTGCCGATGCTGCCGTATCTTCTCACATCCAGAAAATGTCTCAAATATCACCATATAGTAAGTTTTATCTGTTTAATATACCGGGGAAGTTAGGTTAGGTAGGTTTGTTTGGTTAGGTCTGTCCTTCATAACCACAAATGTTAAGTAGAGTTTATTTAAAAAACATCCATTTTAGTAACATTACCACAAACGAAAATCTGACGTTTTTATAATAGGCATCAATCCATTTTGCTCTTGGGTTAGTCCTATATAATTACCCCCACCTCAATTGGACGACACAAAGATCTTAACTGCCATCAACTTTAACGATCCATGAGGCCGTAACGAGGTGGTTGTCTCCTCCATCTTAAACAGTGACAAGCAATAAATTGTATAAAAATTAGAATAATGACTGTTATTGCTGATGGCTTCAGCTACAGTGCGGGCGTGTGATGCCATTAAATCTTTCGACCCGTGACCTAGCCAGATGTAGAAGTGTTTACAGACAAGTCCTGGCTCTGCTGAGTGGACTGTCTTCGGCGGGTGGTGGTGCTGCCCGCCCCGCCATGAGACAGATCGCCTTCTCTCGTGAGGCTGTGAAGACCAGCCTTCTGCTGGCACTGATGAAAATCGACTCATAATCCTGTCCGAGAATTTGGCTGGGACAATTTACTCAGTACTGTTGTCTCTTGGAACACCATACTGATCTGCATTGACCTGCACTTGAAAGTACAGCCTAAGTGATGTCATGCCCCTCAGTACTGAAATATTGTTGACTAATTACACCTACTCGTTTCTGCCTTATCTGGAGTAATAAGACAATGCAGTATGAAGCATAATTAAGATTAATAGAGTTATGAACTTTGTATCATGTCACTATGTTTAATAAATAGAAATTAAGATAAAATTCTATGTATAATAAATAGTAATTAAGATAAAATTGTGTGAGACTAACTCATTATGTATCAGATGGATCACCATGTAATATTATGAACATCTCCTCTGTAGGTTTTGACCACATCAATAAATATTGAATGCGTCAAAAGGAGAGTTTCAATCATTCCCTTCGACTTGCCCGTCACCTGAACGACCTGAACCAAGGCGTTTACAGTTATGTAATATACACATATCAAATGGTGTATTGTGCATAATGAATATATTTCTGAATATGTTTAAGAGTTGTCAGGGATAAAAGCTTCACCCATTCTACTCTCACTGCACAGTAAGTCAGTGAAGAGTTGTTGATTGAAGGAAATTGTGAATATTTAAGTTTTAATGAAGAATGGTTAAGTTAAGTTAAGTTAGGTGAAGACATTCATAAGCCGGAACACAGGCTATATATATTTTTTAAGGGTAATAGTCCACCCGGGCACAGGTCATGACCCACAACAGGGCCTAGGGGAGGGAAGAGTAAAAATAAATATTAAAAATATAAAATAAAAAGGTTATACTAATGAACACCGCCAGAGAAGCATCTTGTTTAAAGTGAGACAGATTGTATGTAAACACAGAAGAAGGCAGAGCATTCAACAGTATGAGGAAAGAAGGATGTACTATAACGGGTTATTATAGTGTGACCCACATCCACACTGTGGGCAAGACACCAGCCCACGGTACACAGGATGCTACTTGTTAACAGAGGCTTTACTGTATAATTGAATCAATGTTGAGACAAAGAAACCTAACCTAACCTAACCAAACCTAACCGGGTTACTACACCCAGTATTGATTCATCTTGTTTTGGTAATGAATATTGACGCCGGTCCTGGATTATGTCAACAATTGTATATAATTGTTCTTCCTCTATGAATTTCTTTGTTATCATCTAACAACACAACCAGGTTGTAACACAGTACCATAAATCATTATAATTTGACCATAATTATAGTAATAAAAGTAACTTATGATGTACAAGGAGAGATTTATCCTCTTCCGTAAAAACTCGTCCAGTCATAGTTGCCGCCATAATCTTGTAAACATTACTCTCGATGGCGACTGGCTGCCGTAATGGTGTAGATGAAATGTGATTGGCTGGATTTTCATTGTTTGAATCTTTGCTTGTAACTGAAGAAAAAACGGAACAGATTACCAGATCCGGGGTTCAAGCCGATGTTCTGAATATGGGTAATAATCCACTGCAAGAAATCTAGGCTCAAGGAATCCCGATTCGCACACCTGAGTTGAGCTCAAATCCCAGGCTCAAACTACCGTCCTGAATTTGGGCCGATTGACAGGTAGACAACTATAGACAGAGAGACAACTAGATGGAGAAACAAAATGTACTATAAGAAATATTTCACATAGTGTGTTGTGTTACACCAGGTGGAGGGGTGAGAGGCAGCCGTTCACTACCTCCAACTATTGCTGTCTCAAGTTTGTAAGTCATATTAACTATACTGTACAATATTATATTTTCATCAATGAGTTCTGATATAATAATAATTTTTAGGGTAATTGCTTCGTTTGGTAGATAATTAGGTGACTAGGCGAGAACTACTTTGTCTGGCGCACATCACTTGTCTTTCTCGGTGGTGATGCGGCGGTACACAGCCAATCATCTCCACTCAACGCCAGTCACCAGTGTAGGTTTATGAGCCACACAGATCAGGCGGCTGCTCTCAGGTCCACAAAAAACGTCAAATTACACCATATAATAGGAAGTTCTTTCTGTTTAATATGCCGGGGGTTCCGGAAGGTTAGGTTAGGTTAGGTTAGGTCAGGTTTGTTTGGTTAGGTTGGCAAGGTCTTCTAACAATGCTTCTGCCACTTGCATTAGTTATCAAATATGGTTAGGTTAGGCTACGTCACATTCAATTTAGAAATAACCAAGTTTTAACACATTTTACATAACTGGGACAGCGTTCATTACAAAACAGTGAAATTGAAACGTTTTTAAATTTGTTTAATATTGAGCGGGTGTTAAGTGTTGCAGTAGTGGGTGTTGCTTCTGGTAACATGTGTTGGTGGTGACTCAGTGACTCTCAGCTGGTGTTAAGTGTTGCAGTAGTGGGTGTTGCTTCTGGTAACATGTGTTGGTGGTGATTCAGTGACTCTCAGCTGGTGTTAAGTGTTGCAGTAGTGGGTGTTGCTTCTGGTAACATGTGTTGGTGGTGACTCAGTGACTCTCAGCTGGTGTTAAGTGTTGCAGTAGTGGGTGTTTAAATGTGTTGGTGGTGTTGCAGTTGCAGTGGGTGTTGCTACTGGTAACATGTGTTGGTGGTGACTCAGTGACTCTCAGCGGGTGTTAAGTGTTGCAGTAGTGGGTGTTGCTTCTGGTAACACGTGTTGGTGGTGACTCAGTGACTCTCAGCTGGTGTTAAGTGTTGCAGTAGTGGGTGTTGCTTCTGGTAAAATGTGTTGGTGGTGACTCAGTGACTCTCAGCTGGTGTTAAGTGTTGCAGTAGTGGGTGTTGCTTCTGGTAACATGTGTTGGTGGTGACTCAGCTGGTGTTAAGTGTTGCAGTAGTGGGTGTTGCTTCTGGTAACATGTGTTGGTGGTGACTCAGTGACTCTCAGCTGGTGTTAAGTGTTGCAGTAGTGGGTGTTGCTTCTGGTAACATGTGTTGGTGGTGACTCAGTGACTCTCAGCGGGTGTTAAGTGTTGCAGTAGTGGGTGTTGCTTCTGGTAACATGTGTTAGTGGTGACTCAGTGACTCTCAGCTGGTGTTA